CAGCACCACATGCCAGCCAGCCTGCCCCCTGGTGGGCTGAGCTGGCCACACACATACACACACAAATAAATAAATAAAATTAAAAAAAAAAAAAAGAAAGAAATTGAACTCAAGGCCTTTTTTATTTTGAAAAGGGGGTCTCATTTGGTTGTTAAATTGGACAGGCTGGGCTTGAGTTTTATAATATTGCCTCAGCCTCCCACAGCAAGCACCCCCACACCTGGCTAAACTTTACCATATTCATCATTTCTCCAAAATGTCACCAAGTTGCTAAATGAAGGTGAGACTCTTTGAAATGATCTGCTGCTTCTGTAATAGTCAGACCTGGAACCGCCAATCCTCAGTCTCAGATGTAGTGGAAGGACATAACTGAGCATTCTTCATTGCTCTTTTTGGCCACAGGAAAGGTGGAAATGCAGCACGGACTTCGGGCTGTGTACCCCAACATGCCTCTGATATGGAAACCAGGCTACCTGGACCGAGCCCTTCAAGTGATGGAGAAGGTGGCCTCCTCCCCAGAGGACACAAAGCTCTGTGGAGAAGCGGTATGTTCCTCAGCCCTCATTTATCCATTTGGCCATCCATTTGGTTCCTCACAATCATGTTGAGCTTTGGATCTGCTTTCTGTATATGTACAGCATCAATACCCAGTTGAGCAAGAATGGAAAAGCACATATTCAGTGCTACTGACAAAAAAAGCACTAGAAGATAAGACTAATGTTGACCTATTGCTCGTTGACTAGGAAGAAATTTTACTCCCCTGAAATTCAAGCTGAACTCAATAAAATACTGCCCACTGCACTGTTCTCACCCACACAAAGGAACCTCAGTAAGAGCTTAAGAGAGGATAAGATTTCGTGTTGAACATTTTTGGCATTTCCATACTCATACAGTCCTGAGGATGTACACTGCAACCTCCCCTCTCCATAAAAGCCCCCAGGAAAGGAATCTAGGGACTGTGGGTGTGGGTGCCATCTTGTTTTCCTTCCATTAAGCCATTCTATGGGAGTTAGGGGTGGGCACTAGATCTGAATTGGTGTTTCTTTCAAAGCTCTAAGGCGTTCACCTTGCCTCACCTCAAGCACTGTCCTCCTAGCAACCTCAGAGCTCATCCCTACCCTTAGCCACTTAAGACCCTTGATGCTGTGAATTCACTAGACTTAGCTCAGACTCTAGGAAAGCGCATACGTCGTACACCCTGCAGGCAGCAGTGTCCATGCCTGACCAAGTAGCTTTTCTAGGCAGAGTGAGGCTAGGACAGTGGCTGTGTCCTTGCCTGGGAGGAAAATCACTGTGAAGCCATTTGCTTGTTTTGTCGTGACCCTGGTCTCTAAGGTTCAGCCTTTACACTCCATGTCAGTTAGGAGGCAGGCCCGATGCCTACACTGCCACCTTGGACCATCATTAGTCCAGATGTGTGTAGCAAAGCATGCATGGTTCCAAACATACATGTTTTAAGCTTGCTGTAATCAGTGTTGGTGATTCAAGACAAAAATCGTACATAAATTTTTCACTAAGGAAATTTCCCCTCCAAACTTACATTTCTATTCTAATCTGTGGAGTTGTTACTCATATGTCAAGAATGCCCAGTTCAAGTGTCATGATTTGAAGTGGTAAAGGCTTTAGTGTACTTTTTGGATTTTGCCATGATATGGCATGGACAGGATTAATCAGTATTTGAGCAGGTGTTTTTGCTGCCCCTATAGTTGTTTCTGTCCCCGCTCCTGGGCTAAGCACCTGGAACAGAAGCAGAGGTGAATAAGACAAAAGGCAACCTTCTGTTCTTTAACTTAATATGTAAGCCACAAAAATCACCTCATTAAAATGAATTTCATATATGTATTGCTGTTGACCTTTGGCAGCAGCATTGTGGGTTTGGCTGATTTCTAATTTATAGATACCCTGTGAGCTAAAACCTTTCTCTTGGATCAGCCCTCGCCTGCACCCAGCAGCTTAATATGTGTTTATCCTGGCTGTGGTCCTTCTCTCCTTTTGTCACCAGCTGACTCCCAGGAAGACAGGGAAGGACAAGGTTCTTAATCACTCATCAGGTATAATGCTTGGGTGCCTACCCGGGTAATTAAAGCAAACTTGGATGTCCCTGTGCTAATTTCATGCATATAAGTAATCCTTACTGTGAGAGGATTGCCTCTTGGTACCTCGTGTTTTATATTGTGTTTTCTATGTCATGTGAGGGTATGTTTCTAATGTGAAAAAAATGTAATAATTTGTTTCCTACCCTTTTTGTACATGGTGCTGGGGTCTAACCCAGGGTCTCATGTATGCTAGGCAAGAACTCTGCCACTGAGCCACCTCTCCAGCTATTTCCTGCAGTTGAATAACAGGAGAAAATGACTTAACATTCTTGAGGTCTCTCTTCCTTACTCAGCTTTCTAATCTCTTCACAATGCTGTGTGCTGTCTAAACTACACCATGTGTAATTCCTGACTTTCTGCTCCACAGCTTGTAGTGCTGGATAGAACTCTGAAGGCAGTGACTTCTCCAGCTGAGGAGTCTTCAGAGAAACCTCCCCCAGAAGGTGGAGACGGCCCAGCCTCAGATAATGTGGTGGAGCAGCTGGACATAGAGGAACCAGAAGCGTCCAAGCTTCCCCAGTACCTGGAGCGCTTCAAGGTGGGCAGAGCTGAGTCTCTCTCAGCTGTGCATAAAACATGCTCCTCTGCTGTGGTGATTGACGAGCAGTCTTCTAAACGTTCACATATCACCGCTATACACAAAGCCATTTGACGTCAAAAATTACATTTTTATTGCTTCACACAGGCAGTGGTCTCAAAGAAACCGTAGATTTTTTTTTTTAAATATATCTAATTTTCAGTTTTACTCACTTAAGGCGGCATGTCATTATCCCCTCATCAAGGCTAGGTACCTGACGGACAATCTTTGTGTGCTCCTCATTGTTGCAACTTGGCTCGCACCATGGGGAGGACAGTATCTGGTCCCCATATTGCACTGAGTGCACTGGATCAGAAACCCAGTTCCACTTTACAGAGCCACATTTGAGCTCCCAAGAGGAGAGGCAGGCATCTTTTGTTGCTCATCTTTGGCAGTTTTGTGCTGGTCACTGGGGCCATTATAAATGCTCCCCTGCATTATATGACTGGGTAAACAGCCCTGAGGCTGTAACTAGTGGGTTTCAATTCAGCACAGCCCAAAGAGACCACAGTCAGCAACAGGGGAAAGGAAACATGTTCACTATTTAGACCCTTGGCCTCCTCCTTGCCATTTGGTGTAGAGAGAAGTGCTACCTCAGTAGGATTCTTCATAGGGAACAGGCTTTCCCACCTTTACCAACAGACCATTGTGTCCTCTTGTGACAGAAAGGTACAGACTTTGCTAGATTATTACATTTAAATCTGTTTAGTAAGTATACTGAACCAGCAGTGAGAAATCTCTTTTCCTGTTATATTTTAAGCAACTGTTTCTCCCAGTTCTGCTCTAAGCTGTTCAGCCATTTTCTGATTTCAAACCAAGAAAGGATAGTGTCTCCAAGGTCCACAGACATGGTTGTAGAACTCAGTTGAGAATTTTCATACTAATCCTTTCCTCTTTGTCTAATTTTGTAGGTATATTTAGAAAGGCATATTATTTTTTTAAGAAAACCTTCCTCACCACCCCCCAGATTTTTATCTTCACATTCACATGGACTGAGGTTACTGCTCAACTCCTAAAACTTGTGACTTCTTCCTTTGACTTTGTGTATATGCAGTCTCACAGGGTAGAAACCTGTGCTTTGCATTAAGTTCTCAGCTCCTGAGCGGCAAATGGTCACCAACAGCTTGCTCTGTTAGTCTTTCTTGCACGTCATTTATCCTCACAAGCTCTGGGTGGCAGACTCCTCAGGTAATGTGACACCAACACTTGTACCTGAGTGACCGCACTGAGACTGGGACAGTTTCTTGAGTCAGTGCTGAGACCTTATCCTGAGACCCCTTAGCCCCAAACCATGAAAGCAGTTGTTTGCATTTTATGTCTCCTTTCCTTCCTGTTGCTTGATTTGTCTTAGTGATAGGTATGGTTTGGGACCCACTGTGTGAGTGCCCAGCCTCACTGTGCCTCCACTTGTGCCTTAGAGCTCATGGCCCTAGCTCACCCCCGCCCTTTTTCCTATCAGAGTAGGCTCAGGGCTTACGATGGCTGATGGAACATGAGAATGTGCAGGCTGAGCAGCAGCTGGGCCCATAAGTGGCTGTTCTGATGATCTACATCTTGAAGCACTTAAGCAGATTAACGATTTTAATACTTTCCTTCTCCAGGAATACATCACTGACCAAACCAAGCTGCCACTGGGATGAAGCCGTAGGCAGGCAGGATAGAAGGGCTGACTGCAGGGGGCACAGCAGGTGGAAGCTTCGAATAGTGCAGGAGCTCATGGGACCTGTTTAGCATGCCATTAGTGAGAAAGCCTTCAGCGATTTCCATCTGTTGAAAGGACCACTGGCAGGGGAACATTTACCATGGTTATTTGAAGGAAAAGATTAGAACAGGCTTACTCTATTTTATCAGATGTCTCTGCCATTTTGTTTGCATCCAGTGGAGTTTGCTGCTTGGGTTGGAAGAGGTCGGTGTGGTAACATGCATGTGTTACACCTGTGTCATCTCTGTGGTTTAAAACAACACAGATGGGGACAGGGGAGATGGCTCAGTAGAATAAGCACTTGCCTGAGAAGCTCAAGGGCCTGAGTTTAATGCCTGGTTACACACACACACACACACACACACACACACACACACACACAAACACAAAGGGAGTTCGTGAATCAGTGGGGAGAAATCACATGTCTTGCATCTTAGCCAGACTTTTTGGCTGAGGGGAGCTGGAACCTGGATGAATGTGAGAGTCTCAACAAAGAGCTTTTCCTGCAAGCAAAGGGGGATGCTGTTTTGCATGTGACTTAATTGCATCTCTTTTCTGCTCCCCTGCTCCCCTTTTTCTCTTCTTCTCTCTTTCCTTTCTTTTTCTCTCCTTCATTTCCAACAGGTCTCTCAGTCTAAGCTGCAGGCTCTGGGCAAAATTGAGTCAGAAAGCCTTTTAACTCTGACCACCCAACTTGTCAAAGAGAAGCTTCCAGCCTGTGAGCCCAAGGACCTCGCCGCCTATGAGCAAAAACTGCAGGAGTGGCATGTGGCACGGATGAATTTGATACAGAAAGAGCAGGAGCAGAGGGAGAAAGCGAAGCAAGAGTACCAGGCCCAGAAAGCAGCCAAGGCAGCAGCCTAGTGCACGCAGGCCAGCCATCATGCAAGGACCTCCCACAGCTGCTGCCGCACTCAGCAGAGACGGGTGGGCCCTCAACCTCTTCTCTCGGGGTGTTTTTGTTTTTTGTTTTGTTTTGTCTTTTTGAGACAGGGTTTCTCTATGCAGTTCAGGCTGGCCTTGAACTCACTTTGTAGTCCAGGAGGACCTCAAACTCAGCGATCCTTCTGCCTCAGCCTCCCAAGTGCTGGGATTACAATTGCGCGCCACCATGCCTGGCCCTCTGGATCATCTTCATACAGGCCACACATGGTCTAAAAGCCATGCTGTGCTTCTTAACAAGATGCTGTGACTGCCCATCCAGATGCCAAGAAGGGCTGGGAAACTAGGCAAGTGGCTGGACTTAAGTCAGTAGCTAAATACCTTTAAGGGGAAGTCTCTCATGGCTCCCAGGGGTGTGCCAGACATGGGGATCAACTGTGAGTATGCGTAATTCCCAGGACCTAGTAAGAGTGGGGCAAAGGATATGGCTAAGAGTCTCATTGAGAGATAGGCCAGAGAATGTTCTGCCTGCTGCAGCCCAGGCGTGTGGGGCCCAGGTGAGCACCAAGTCTCCTCTAGTGACACCTCCCTAAGAGCTGGCCATGGTGCTCATACATCCCACATCTTCCTCCCACCATGGACTGCCCTGTGATTTGCTCTGTGGGGCGCCCAGGATAAGAGTGACTTCAAGACCAGGACCCCACCAGGTTGCCAGTTTTGGGCAGCCACAGTGACACTGTAGGCTGTAAGGGTTCTGGAGGAGAGACCTGGCCCTGCTGTGAAGGCGTCTTGGGGCTGCTTTTTGGAGCGTCGTTGTTACTCCCTTAAGTAGCCTTTTTGTGTACTTACACATACGCGCGAGCACACACAACTGTGAACACACATTTCAGTGAAAGAAGTTAGTAAAAATGAGAGCTGGGATTGGGCTTCAGATGCACAGCTGATGAGAGTGACTGTGAAGCTACCGGGAGATGGGAAATTGCTTCCTGAGGTTTCCTTCTGTGGAAGGATCAGGACAGTTGTTACTTGTTGTGTTGTGTAATGCTGCCTTTCAGTACAATGGTGTGCTTTTATTCAAGATTGTGCTTTTATCAAGAACCTGCAGAAATAAAGAATATACTGAAATAATCCCAAGACCTTTATCTTAGGGGTCGGGGGGAGTCTTACCGCCCGTTAGCATTGCTGTGATTCTGAGTGACACATTCATAACAGCCACCACTCACATTTATGAAGCATTTACCATGTATCGACGCCGTACGCAGCCCTGCATCTTGGAGAAAGATATGAGACTGCCCCGCCCCACCCCCACGTCCTGCCCTCTGCGCTCCCTGTGCCTGTGCCTGTGCCTTGCGGGGGCCTGGGAAGTGCCGACACTGGCTTAGGCCATTGCTGACATCTTGCTTTATCAGGAGTTTTTTCAGCCACTGCCTTAATAAATGAAAGAGACACAAGATAAATGAAAAGCAGTTTAAGCTTAGTAAATGAATATCACAGCCTGAAGCATCTGAGTAATCCTTTGAATCATAATTTTGCTTTATTTTTTCTCTGTCTTAGTTACTTTTCTCATTGTTGAAACAAAATATATGACACCCACAGTTAAAGAAGGGAAAGTTGATTTAGCTCACAGCTTGTAGTTTTCACCACTCACTCCAAAGCAGGCTGGTGTGGTAGAGGAACCTTGCCGAGGAGAAGCGGAGCATGGCAAAGCAAGGCGGGCCACGGGCAATGAGATGAGCAAAAGCCCAGCAGCTCCCCCCCCCCTTTTTTTTTTCTTTTTTTAATTTTGTGTATTTGGTACAGGGTCTCACTACGCAGCTCAGATTTGTAGTGGTCCTCCTGTTTGAATCTCCCTAGCGCTAGGATTACAGACGTGCACCACCATACCCGGTCTCTAGTAGCCCTTTTTGTCCCTTGTATCCTATCGAGACTACCTGTCCGCCCTTAGGGCAGGTAACACCACATCCTAGATGCAGCGACCTCTGAAAAGCCCCATATGTGACTGCATGAGGCTGTGGGGGACATCTGCACACAAGCCATAGCACTCCCCCTCGTTCCCGACTGCATTTTATTCCGAGTCCTCAAACCAAGAAGCCTACTCGCCACTGTGTCTGCCTGGACAGACGTTTACCTGACCCCACTATTCAGATTCCTCCACATTTGTGCCCCCTTAGCCCCCAGGAACTTTTGGAGTATGTCTCTTCCAGTTCTCTTGCCCTCTCCTTAAGCTCTTGGCCCTTGAGCTATGGGATGCTCACCCGCCTTCGTTGAGGGCAGTGGCCCTCACTATAGTCTGTCCTGTTACCTGACGTTGCTTCCATGTTCTTTTCATGCAGTGGAAAAGCAACTGTCAGCAAGCTGGCTTCAGGGGGACTCACCCTCTGCTAGCTAACCTGCCTGTCAGGCCCGGCTGCCAACCTCAGAATGCTGTGGACGCCCCACCCCCAGCCTTCTCTGGTGCCCTGAACCCTGCTGCACCATTGCTGTGACTCCCCACCCCCAAACCCTTCACTCTTACCCTGACTCTGACTCTCACGAGCAGAACCAGAGCCTGGGGCCAGCCACCCCGCCAATGTTCTTGGTATTTCATTTCTCCTTACTCTCTTTATCCAGGAGCACTTATGTCCTTGAATCTACCAGGGATAAGTTGCATTATTTCCTAAAAGAAAGATTTTGAAGGCCCAGTGCCTTAGAATCTGACCTCAGTTGGGAAGATCTTTTGTGAGGTGGTAAAGTCGAGGCCACTAAAGTCAGTGCAGATCCAGCATGACTGATATTCCTTACAAAGGGGGGTAGAATCATTAGCTACAGCCATTAGACAAGAGAAAGAAATAAAGGGAATAAGAATAGGC